GCTCTTACCATGCGGGTGTGGCTCAAAATTTAGCTGCGGGTACGCAGGTTTTAGTCTACCTGTGTATTTGCCGGGGTTCCATGTTGGGTACCTAATTTTGACCCACAGCCACGTGGTGGGTGGGACGCACACAATGCGCGTGACGCTCACAACGCACACGATGCAAAGCGACATTGCTGGCAGGCTCTGCAAAGCAGATTTGCCGCCTGGGTGATTTAATGCCTCTTACAGGCTGGAAGACAATAGCATTGACAGCGAGATGATTCTTCAGGTTGCCTCTGATTACACGTTTGTCAATGAGATACCTGATGCTCTGGTTCGTGTCTCTAGCATTGGCAACCTGAATATTGGCCACGTTTCACTGGCTATGCCGTCAGTATGAGGGCGTCCACCCTTTAATTGCCTTGGCTCATTCACATGCGCTGTAGTCTGTGGAAAGCCACTGATTGCTTTGTGACATGGCCACTTGTGAATTCCTAAATCTGGCGGACTTGTAGCTCGCACCCAAGGGTCTGGCGAAATTATGCCGACCTGGGATCTCACTTGGAGGGATCGATGCGAACTCTCTCAGCGAATTAGGCTGTTCGCCCCATAGGTCTCAGCCTGAGGATTTGGCTCCAGTCAAAAGTCATGGAATCCCTAAGAGGGGTAGGTCCAGGGTAGTTGAGAGCCCACCCATAGGGTGCCCTGCGGTTATGGAATCCTCCGCCTTGGACCACCCCTCCTTAGGGATTCCCTGGGCCATTTGTCACTGGACCGGTACCTCCTGCAGCTGTTGTGGACATGGGCATCTCGCATGGCTATGTGAAGGAGGGGACCCCCAAAATGGGTTCGGCTTTCATTTTGGTTTCCCAAGCTCACCTGCAACACCCTCAACGAGCCACACGCCATTGGCATGACGTCCCTTAACTTGAATGCACGCCTTTGCATGTCCATGCCGCAGATCTCAGACCCCATGGCTGGATATGGCAAACCGCAAAGCAGACCCAGCGCAACCTTTTCAACGAAGACCGGTTCCTGACAGGAATTACGAACCAGCTGAACCAGCTCGGTGGAATTTGTTCCCCACCTAGGCCAAGATATATTTCAGATAGATGCGTTAGGAGTTGTCCCGCTGCGATCATGCTGAGCTGCCTTGTTTGCAAAGTGCAAGGCAGCAAATTCCACAAAAATCCAGCCATGTCAGCCATTCAGTTGCACCAGCTTTGGGTTCTGGGGGCTCGATTCAGTTTTTGAATACACATGGAGCTCCACAAAAGAAACACAGCCAGTCCGAGGAGTGTTGACTGTCGAAGCTTTCAAACTGATGCCAGGTACTATCCATCCTCCAAGTCTGGAGGAGGTGGAGGAGGAGGAGGAGGAGGTGGTTCTGGCAAAGATGAGAAAAAGGAGTCACACTCCATGTACCTTCATGAAGAAACGTTAACCTTCTATGCTGGTGCTGCACAGTTGAACGCTTGGCAAACGCTTGCGTTGTGCAAATGCCGTATCGCACAAGCCAGCCAATGCCGGCACCCCCAAAGCAAAGAGGTCGGATGAGGTACCCGCACACTCCAGCAACTGGAAAGGGAACCGCCCATTTTGGCGGCTTCTCCATTTTGGAGGCAACCCCACATGGCGACGTGCCATTCAACTCAAGGAGGACCACTCCATCACCGGCAAGTTCGACCCCACTGCGCTCGAGAGAGGTGCAAAGGCTGCTCTGGGTGTGCATATGTTTGAGGGTATCCTTTCAAGTTGGTTTGAAGGGCAACAGAAGGAACACCGTTTTGGGGGTCCCGCTATTTGAAGACATGCAGAAGGTTTGCCGCCAGGCTTTGAGGGACCTTGACACCTCTCCGAATGCCACCAAGGCCGGCGCACTCGCTTTTTGTTTTACAAGGTTGTACGTCAGGTTGCAACGGTGTGTTGGCCGGCGGGGTTGAGCCGGGCGGTCTGCAGTTGCACTGAGGCATTTGAGCTCACCAAGCTTGCCGAACAAACAAAGCAGAAGGACGCGGTGGTTGCAAAGCATGCCTTGAGGTTGCTTACGAGTGGCAGGCATTGGGTACCCACGACAAACATCCTCACAGAGGAGAATCAAACCAAAGTTGACCTGCCTTTGTGCAAATGGCAGAGAGACTCGATGGCCAGTCCGAACAATGGCCCCTCCAGAAGATGTCTTTTTTGGAGGGGTCCCAAGCCTGGTGATTTCCCTTTGCAGGAACTGCAGCTGGAGATTGAGCAGCAGCAGTCCGTGCGAACGCAGGCACCCAGTGAGTTGGAGCCAAATCAATTCTTATGTTGTCCAAACTTGTTTTGGGAAAACTGAGATGTCATGGGGCCAAGTGCTGTCAGCCCCCCTGGTCCTGTTTTGATGCTAACTCGGTGATTTCTTTCTCGGGGCCATTTTGGCTCAAGTCCATGACTTGATCCCTGATCTCGGATCTTTTCATTTGATTTTTCTTTCAGGTGGTATGGACCATGCCATGGACGCCGTTGCGGATGCCAGGCATGATGCTCGTCAGGAAGCAGCTAGTGAAGCCGTGAAGGAAGAAGCTGCTCAGGCGACGACACCTACGTAGGTCTGGTCTGGCGGCCATGGAAGTTGACGCGGAGTCGAAGGCAGCGGAGCTGGCGAACCTTGGGTCAGGGACGGCTGCTCCTACCCCCGAGGGACCCTAGCTTGGATGCACGCCAACTCCATCCGGGGTTGCGCAGAGGAATTTGGGGTTAGGGCGGCTGCCTCAAGCGCTGCTTCCGCCTCAGGGCACTCTTGGGTTCTCCCTGGGGTGGATGACACCGAGTTCGAGCAGAGCCTCTTCAGCATGAACAAGTGCACTATGTGGACACGGACGAGTTCTGTGGACCCACCACCGCCGACCTGGTGGCCTGGATCCAGCAGAAGGTGATGGACAGGGCGGTCCCCACGGAGGTTTTGAAGGAGCTGGTGATGACACGGAGATGTGGGCATTTTTTCGCCAGGAGTCTGGTGGCCGGCGGTGTTGCGGTGGTACGGTTTGGAAGAGGACCCGTTCAACACTCTGTCAGGCCTGCAGCTCTCGGCGGAGGTGGCCCACAAATGGTACGCCCTCCGGAAGACTCTGAAGATGCCGGCGCAGATCCCGATCCTCTGCAGGACTGACGGAGGAGGACCTGCAAGACACGGACATGTGCGTTGCGCAGACGCGAAGAAGGGTCTCTACCGCCTGGTGGAGCCTGACCGCTTCCCGACTAAGCCCTTCGACAACGAAACAGCAAACATACTCAGAAGCAATGTTAGCAAAGTTCAGCGAAGCCTGGGAGGGGACGGCGTGAACGTTGAGGAGTACTTGAAGAACTTGGGGGGTCCCTCGCGCGCGAAGTTGCAGAGTGCTTTGGCCAGGCAGCGCCAGGGCTTTGGGACGCCTTCCAGGAAGAAGATGGATGCGCAGCAGGCAACCTACATTTGTGTGGCACCGAGTTTGAGAATGGTCACCGGGTAAAATGCCTCCTGTTTGGCCATACGGTGCTGCCGGTTTTGGCCAAGTCAAAACTTCTGAAACAAGTACGGGGCCAAGCAGCCCAGCTGAAGTCGTTCACGGGTGTGGAAGGTCTCGTACTGGTGGACAACGTGCTCTGCTCTCGGCCACACGGTACACTTCCCGCTCCCCACACATGCCCGGCGAGGAAGGGGTGATATGGTGAGCATCCTGCGGAGGAGGGTGGCGTCCAGCTGGAGGAGATCGCAGGAACACCCTCATTGCTATAGCAGGACTGGCGTTGACAGTGCTGAGCTTCTACACATCCCGATGCGCAAGCGCCTCTCCGGCGCCGTGGCAAAGTCTGTGCCATGGCCTCCAAGGCCATGCTAGCGATTGCAAAACGGCCTGCGCATACCAGGACTTGGGGGGAGATCAGGTGGTGCGCACGTCACTCCTTAAGGTTGGCGCGGCCCTCTGCGACTCAAAGCGACGCAGTGTGTTCGCAGTTTGGATTTTTGCCACTCGCGCGGTCTCGTGGAAAATGAATTTTAGGGGAGCGCTACAGACTGCGCTGTGGCTTCTTCTGTTGTCCAGACTTGTTTTGAGATGTCGGCCAAGCTATTAGCCTTCCTGGTCCTGTTTTGATGCTAACTCGGTGATGGTGGCTATTTTGGCTCAAGTCCAGATCTTTTCATGTGATTTCCCACCCTCCACCCCCTATGGTTTTGGACCTCAAAAAAACCGGCGGAGGAGGTCAAGGAGGGAGGGGGATACTCTGCGGCACCTTGTCCGAAGGTGTGCGAGGACTGGGTCGTGAAACTCGCTGAGCGTGCCCGGCAGATCCTTACGCAACACGAGGTTCTCTGGCTGCTGATGGCGCAAATGCTTTGTCTGTGGACGTTGGGCGGAATCCGACGATCTGGGCTTCGCGGACAAGGTTAATGGGTATAACTGGGCCACATCCACCCTGGCAGTTATCCGTTTGGAGAACTCCATGCATGGATGCCTTCCGCAGCCTCAACTTGAGATCTCCCCAGTGGTGGACCACCGAGCCATGCTGCGCAGAGGCGACGCAAACGAAATGCGGGGTGCAAGGACCAAGCCGGAGGTGGAATATGAAGGTTCCGACCACTTCACTCGACTTGAACAAGGTGGCCCTTCGCCCCAAGTCCTGTACCAGAAGCGCCAATCCAAAAAAGGGCTCGGAGTGGATCATAGAAGAATTTTATGGGGCTTCCGAAGGGTGATGATTTGGCGCACCTCCCTCCTTACGGTCGTGGCATCGATCTCCATTGCGCTCACCAAAGAAAAGCTGGATGAATTCTACGAATTTATGACGGGGGAGGATGTCAAGGGCAGAGAGCCCTCCCCCAGCCTGAGTGTCATGATGACGGCGGAGAGAAAGGGGGAGGGGGCGGCAAGGCCTCCTTTGCCACGGACGGCCACGATCTCACAACTCCCAACTGCGGAAGCTTTCCGCCGGGCTGACCAGGCGCGGACCCTGTAAACCTGGATGGCTCCAACGCATCTGAGGGGAGCTGGCCAGGCAGCTGGGCCAGCGCAGTTGCACTTGGACATCCTCAAAGAATTCCCGGAGGACCCACAGATCTGGCTCCAAATGACTAAGCTTTACTTGAGAGAAAACTGCACGTCTGCCTCGGAGCAACAACTGACAAGGAAGTGCAACAGGCTGGCTCTATCCATGTACCCCAAGAGCTCCTCGCCGGACGGGTATGCTCCAGGAAGGGAGCCAGCCAGGCCACTTCCGAAACGTCGAAAGCAAAAACCGCAAAACCTGACCGCAAAGAAGTGGCCCTGCTCGGCTCTCCGAATCGAACGTTCAGCGCAAAACCCGGGTGGTTTTCGCATCACTCCACCATGTCAAACGATGACCGCGAGACCGGGGTTCAGTTTACCACGGACTTCCGCGGGGCAGGGGGTATGAAGATACCCTTGATCCGGTGAGGGCCGGCAGAAAGCAGACACAGCCAGGAGGCTGTGTTCGCAACTCTGCCCGCCCTCATGTTTGGATTTTTGCCACTCATTCGTTCTCGGGAAAAATGAATCTTAGGGGAGCGCTGCAGACTGCACTGTGACTTGGAATTCGACAGATTTCATTTCCATCACGAAGAACTATGGCTCTCATATTGGATGACCCAGTTTCCACGGCATTTCGTTCGCCTTCGCATTTCAGTGAGAGGTTCTGGAAGGTTCTCGCACATGTCGAGGCCGCCATGCAGCGAAACAAGATGGACGCAGATGAGAAGAGGACAGGGTGAAACGCCGGACGTCAACGTCCGCGTTTTCCTTCGGCTTGGAGTCGTCAGAATTCTCCCGAGCTGAAAGCTTGGGGCTTGGGCCCTGGGCCGAGCGGTTTGGGTCTGTCGTTTTTAGGGCGACCACCCACAAAATGGCGCTTTCGCAACGGTTTTTCTCCTGGCTTCCCTTAAAAAAAGAAAAAAAGGACCCCCCCACCACAGTTGGAGCAGCTCCGGGCTATCGGGGGTGGGGATACCCGGTTCTTTTTGGGGAGCTTTGAAGTGGCCCGCAAAAAGGACTTAAGACGTCGCCGCTCCATCCCAGGCTCTCGGTGACGACTTGGGCCAGGCATCTCTATAGTCAGCAAGTATCTGCAAACCACCCCTTTGTTTCCTTAGGCTGACACGCGTAGTTCGCTTTTGTCTGGTTCGTGTCAGCATTTAAGTTTGCGCCCTCTCTCTCTCGCTCTCTCTCTCTCTCTCTGTCTTGCAAGAGACTGTTCAGGGGCAGCTATCAGGTCCTTCGTTTTTTCTTCTTCTTCTTTTTTTTAATATTATTTTTTCTTTTTCTGGTTTTATGGGGGTGAGGCCGAAACATATTTGCGACTTATACTGATTTCCCTTTGAACCCCCCAACCCGAAACGGGTGTCCTCAAGAAAAGACGCGCTCATATATCTGAGTGCTTTTTCCAGCAAAAACGGAGGCTGACAGATAGCATTGTGTGAAGCACCATTGATCCGGTTGAGGTGGTTGAAAGGAAGTGTAAAGGGAAGACATATTCCAGTTTAGGCAGGAAGCAATTCTAAAGGGAGACCAGAGGCAAACTAATCAGGGGTCGTCCAAAATTTCGAACGTACCCACATCGGTTCCCGTTTGCTTTTTGTGTTTCCTCGGAACTTTTGGGGATATGCAGCCGGCTTCTGATCGCAGGAAGACCATCTCTCATCAGCAGGAGCAGGAAAGACGCACTGCGGAGTACAAGGCCGGCGGCTGCATTGCCATGCTGGGCCTAATGTTTGGGACTTTCAGACGATCTCAGTCTCGCCATGGCACACTGGTCCTGATGCTCTTGACAGCTCGTTTTTGCGTTGATTTGGCTTGTCGTGTCTTCACCGCGTTGTGCACGCATACTTTGATGGCCAGATAACCTGCACTTAGCGCAGTACACTTTCCACACTGTACAGCATTTTGTGTGGACATCCACAGTCCTAACGCCACGTGTATGTAGTGATTTTTTTTGCTTTGTCCGAGGCTCGTCTTGACAGCGAGCTCTACCAAAGCAAGCTGGAGGACTCATGGAGGGACCCCCGCGTCCCGTCCGGGAAGAGCCCGCTCTCTTTGATGGGTAGCCTCATACGGATGTCTCTTTTTTGGAGGGGTTGGTCGTCCCCCCAAAAGGACACACGGGAGACCTTGTGACCTCTTATGACCTCGCATTTTTTCCAGGACCAACAGAAGCAGATTGATCAGCAGCTGCAGATGCAGCGGCCGCCTCAGAATTTCACAAGCAGAAGTGGGATCGTTGCGCGGCGGCTTCGGCGTGGTGGGGATTTGGATGGGAGCCAATCTTCCAGATGGGTTTCAAAAACATGTTTGCTTTGCTTTGCATTGAACCATGGCCCGGGGTGATGCAGCTTTCAAGCGAAAGAACCCGACTTAAAGTTGGTTGATGAATGGATACATTGCCACTTTTGCTGGTTTTTTCGCCGCGAACTTGTTTTCCGCTTGGGATGTACTCAGGCATGAGCAGTTCTTGCGACAAGAGGAGATGAGAAAGAGGAACAACATGGAGCTTGAGGAGGACCTTCGAACCATCAGTTGAGAACCATTGGTCATGATGAGCATTAAATCATTACCCTCCCACCAACTAATATGGAACCTGGCGTTCCGGGATCCCTTGCGAGGAAAATGGTCCCAACCAGGACCCCACTGTCAGGTTCCATGTAATGTTAATTGGTGGGAGGGTAAGCGGAATAATTGAAAAGGGACCACGCCCATGGATCGATTCAAAGCCTTTGACAGGTGTTCATGGCATGGGTTCGATGCAGGGCGATCTGTAGGAGAAACGCAGAACGCTCCAAGAGCAAGCTCGGCTTGACCGAGAAGCTTCGATTGCCGGGATCCGCGGGCTGACGTTCATCTGCACTTTGCTTGACGTATTGCGTGTCCTACCCAGAATTGGGAGAGTCTACAGCGGTGGGACAGGTATCGACATTTAGCATGCCATGACATGAGAGACAAACCTTCTGCAGCATATTCCGCCCAAACCTTCTGCAGCCTCAAGCGATCGATGCATTGCCGGCAGTAATTAGGCGCGAGGCCCCGGTGTGTTGTGAAACGCATCAGCACATGGCCTGGAATTTTTATAGGAAACACCTGAAAAGTGGCTGGTGGACATGATTCCACAAATGATATCGTCCGACGGGCCCCGAATTAAAACTCATAGCCACATAGAAGGGGAAGTCACCAATGTCAGCAGGCGTTGGGGTCGTTGGAGTCCGCACCGTGTCAAAAGAACGGGATCGCTAGAATATGTCTTCCTTGCCTGTTTTGGGAAGGACACCCAAAGGAAATTGATTCAGCTGTCTGCCCGGTTTGACAGGAATTCCAAATGTTGCTTCAAGTTTCTCCACGGGTTCCAAATCCAAATCCCACGATTCCAAAGTCTAAATTGGGGTTCCTGGCCTGAATTCAAGCTGAAAAAGGTGTCTTTGTCAGAAGCCACCAGGATGCTGTCAAATCCACGTCATCCCTGGATTTTCAAATCCCGACATTTGTGCACTTGTCCTGATGCAGGGATGTGGATAAGTATTCGGATTCTTTATATTGGTTGTAGACCAAGTCAATGACAGTGTCTGATTTTTGACTTCTTGGGCGTGTCTTTTTTAGGGGGTCCCCTACAAATCGTGGTTTCCCCCTTAAAACCACAGAAAGGGGGCACCAAGACCAGGCGCCCATGCGCTCTGTTCTCTGAAGGCTTATGGCCAGCGGTCTGTCGGATGAGCAGCTGAAGCTGGCGAAATGGCGGCTGGAACATGGCGAGACGGTGCAAGGTGCGAAGCGACTTTTTCTCGCGTCGGCGGTCTCAAGATGAGTTTGTCTCGGGCCCAAGAGATGCGCGGCTCGTCTTTTGGTTGAGGTGGTACCCCTTTTGGGGACGAAGTCCCTTTTTGGTTCCCTTGAAAACCAACCAAAAAGAGGTACCAACTGAAGAAAGACACTCCCCAAAGGAGATTCCGATCCGAAAATGATGAGCTCGTTTGGTTTCCATGTGTAACTGTCCGCAACCGAAAGAACAATGTCCACCAACTAAACATCATAAACCTAATTGCAAAAGCTGCATTCTGGATTCGAGCCCGGGATGGCCGCAGCAACCTTTGATTTGCACGCAGATTCCGGAAGGAGTCCAATTCAGCACCAATGGGATCCCATTTTGGTTGGTAGGTGAATTCACCACCCATTTTTGAACCTATTTTAGTGGTTGGATTGGGATGTTCACTGGGTTAACTACTGGTAGCCTATTGTGAGGACATGACCCACCCAAGTATGCCCCGCAAAAACAGGGACCCACCCAATTTTCTCATGTCCTCTTGGGAGACTCTCCATTTTGCAAAAGGAGCTGCTAGAGTTTGGGTGCTGAAGCCTTTGCTTCAGGTCGGCCATTCTATGACGATCCGAAGTTTGCAAAGCGCACACCTCAGCATCAATAAACATCACATTGGTACGGGTGGCTCGTCCTTTTTAGAGGACCCCTAAAAATGGTTGTTTGCCTTTTTGGCTTCTGAGCAACAACACAAGAAAAGGGCCAGATTTCAACGTACTTCTCCCCATGAGGTTTCTCAGAATAGGGTTGGGCCCCGTTTTTAGGGGTTTGTTTCCTTTGGGTATCTTTGGTTTCAAAAAAGGGGGTCCGAAATCCATTATGAGAAGCTTTCATTTGGGCGTGTCTGTTCTTTAGGGACCCCCCAAAACAATTAGCTTCTTTTCAGTTCACCTTTAAAACCAGCCAACAAGGGTACTCTCAAAATCAGATAGACCCATTTGAGTAAGGCCTTCAGCAATCTCGCAGGTTTTGCGAGATCGCCAATGAAGCGGAGAAGAAATCCAAGGCAGGTCAACGTAGACATGCACAAAAAAGAAGACGTTTTTGAGCTGCCGGTCTGCCTAAGGTGTCCTGTCCATTTTGTCGCATGGGTGGCATGCGACTGCGAGGCTGGCGAAGCCGGAAAGCTTTTTGGGCGGCTCCTCACCCCAGAGGCGCCTCTGGCAAGAAGTGCTGTTCGCGAAGCTCTTTCCCAGCCTTCCTCATGTACACATCCGCCCCCGCCCACCCACGCTCGCTCGTCTTTCTCTCCTTCTCTCCTTCTCTCCTTCTCTCCTTCTCTCCTTCTCTCCTTCTCTCCTTCTCTCCTTCTCTCCTTCTCTCCTTCTCTCCTTCTTTCTCTTTTGCGTGACTCAGAGCAAGTATTGGGCGTGATGCCGTAGGTGGTGGAAGAGCTGCATGCTGCATTCATTTGGGCAGAGGACCGCGCTCGCGCCACAGTTGAGGAGCTGTTCTAAGCCAAAACATACACATTTTCTACAACAAAGGAACTTCACAGTCTTGCACATGAGTAAATTGCATAAGCTGTTGTTTTGGCGGGGTTTCTTGCATGTAGGCCGCTGTGGGACTTGTGTTTGAGCCATTCAATGAGCAGGGATTCAAAGGCCCTTTCTTTTTTTTCCCATTGCGCAGGATCTGTGAGTGTTTGCTCGGCTGATTTTCTACTGTTTTAGCACAACCTCCGTGTACACCCCAATGGGGGCCTGTGCAGACACTTGCGCCAGCCCTAAACCCGAAAAGCCAAAAAGGTGCCTGCCTGCCATGCTCGCCAACAGGCTGCTAAGCGCGCAAAACATTCGCCGTAAATGCAGGCAGCAGGGCTCCGTCGGTAAGTAGCATGTATGACCAAGCACCAAGCCGCGCTTACTTGGTGTTCGTACCTGAGGGCAGGACATCTTGCATAGCCGTTGCGCAAAAAGTGTTCCAACAAAAGGTTGCCCTCACCTACAAAGAGGGAACCACATGTCACAACGGGGTTGTTTGAAGAAGAGGTGTTAAAACCTCTCCACTGTTGTTGCCATGTTTTCGGTTTTCAGTCTTAGTAGAGGCTGCAAAAAGCAACCAGTCCGTTTTTTCCTGCAAGCCGTTTGGGTTGGGGGTATTCATGTTTCAGGGAATCCTTAGTTGGTGGGTTGGCGGCTAATGGATGGTTTCCCATTTACTCTATAATCTGGTAACCTTAGTTGGTGGTTTGGATTGGTGGTTTGGATTTGAACGCCTGGTTCTTGTAGAGGGTAGATGGGACACCGTTAAACACCAACCACCAATCCAAACCACCAATTGGAGGGAAGCTGATATAACACCAAGGGTTCAATTCCAGATCCAAACCACCAATCCTCAACCAACGCTAGCCCCCTTTTTCCTGTCGAGGACGGAGCCATGGATCCGTTGGATGGCTGGAAGCGGCCAGGCCCTCAAGGTGATCGATCCATGGATCGATCGAAGCCCGGCGAAGCTGAAGAGTCTTCCCTTAAATCAGCGTTGCACGAATTGGCGGCGTGGAGGCCCGGTTTGGATTTGGATTTGTTGCCCCTGCTTAGTACACAGGCGTATGAATTTGCTGGTAGAGAGAGGTCACAAGTTAGGTCCACACTTCTGAATATGGACGAGGCCTTAGGCATGCTTTCCATTTCGTTCAAAAATGCATTCCACTTGAGATTCGGTGAGAAAAACTCCAGCCGTCTATGGTCCATTTAAGCGGGACACAGGGGAGTCACTCAATTTCCCACCAAAAAAAGAAGGGGACGCACCAAACTTCCCATGGGAAACAGGCAGATTTGACAGCTCACTGAAGAGTCTGGCGTGGAGCTGAGGTTTTGCAGCATGCTACAGGAAACCGAGAAGATCCGAGGTGCCATAGACGTAGCTTGGCGCAAACTCCGCGCGTCACGGAAGTGTATGGTGTATGGGCGTGTCTTTCTTAAGAGTACCCCCTTGTTTGGGCTTGGCTTTGAGAGAAGCCAACACAAGACGCCCATTTTGACGTTTCCCCCATTTGAAGACAAACCCACAGATGACCCACATCCTTTGTGCAGTGTATGCATAGAATGCGGCCGCACTGCGCTGGAACATCACAGGGTACCTTGACCAAGGCGCCATTGAGAGACACAGGACTGGGCCCCGGCTGAAAGCAGAGCATGTTGAATTTCTCACAGCTGTTGCACACTTCTGGGCTCAGACTCCAACTTTCAAGCACTGGAGAACCCAATGTGGGATTGCCTCAAAATAGGATTTGGACCCTCAAAGCTGGTTGTTTTTCTTGTGCTTCCCCTTAAAACCACCCCAGAAGGGGTACCAACTGAAAAGACCCAATGTCATTTCTAAGTCCAATCTGAGCCCCGCTTCCTCCTCTGCGGCTTTCCGAAAACCGCCCCTCGCACGGCCCCTTTTTTCAGGAGAGAGGGCCACTCACCGGGCGGCCGAGACGGGCAAGCTGCAGACACTTGGATGGCGCTGGATCCGTTTGGAGGCTCTACCATTCTTTTCCCCAGCTGAAAGGGGTGCATCTCCGTCCTGCATTTTGCGTGTGTGAAAAACCATGCAAACTCGCCCGTGGACGGGTGGCAACAAATACAACACCTCGCTACAGAGTTCTGTATGACGGGAAGAAAAAAGGGTATTCTGTGCTGCTGTCCTATTTTGAATGTGTGCTCAGGAATTTGAAGTGGCTTCTGGACAACAGAGCAGACATCAACGTGCCTCGGCCGAGAAGCTGTTCTAATCTCAGGACAGCTGTGCTGCCCCAATTGCCAGGCTGGATGGCTATTTGGGTCCGTCTTTTTTTCGAGGTGGTACTCCTGCTTTGCGGGCTTTTGAGGGAAACCTAAAAACGCATTTTGGGGGGTGCAACCTAAGACATGGACACACCCATATTGATCATCACCCTTAAAAGCACCGAGAAACTTTTTGCTCACCGAGAACCAGCCAAGGATCCTGAATTGTCGAATTCAGCACGTGACATGCCTATAATCTACGATACAAAGCCACAGTCATGCTGCCCTGTCAAACAAGTTTACGGATTTTCAGTCGTTCCCAAGGGTGTTGTTTGAGGGACAAACTTAGAGCTCCATTGGCTACATTTGCCTCTTTCGATCGAACGCCTCGGTTCTTGCAGCAAGTTCCATCAGCATCTTTCTACTTCAGAGAAAGTAGGTGGCCTTTCAAACGTTCCAGAGTCCTAGCCAGGCGTAGCCTTGGCTCACTTGAGCCACACACTAGGCCCTTTGTCCCTAGACCATCTCCGGGGATCACATTTGGTCACACCAAGAAGCAGCACGGTACAGCTAATTCTCGGTTGGTGGATGACCTGATCTCTGGGACTTTTGATCCTTGGCAACCGGTGTTTCTCAAAATTGGGAACCTTGCCGGTTTGCTGTGGGTTTCCCCTGGACATGCAAGGAGGACACCTGTCTTGGGGAAAGACCCCAGCCAATTTTCACCAAGGCGACGACGGCTCCCGCTTTGGAGCTGTCTCCCGCCGGGGATGTGTCCCTGGGCCTCACACCGGTGCTGGTGGCAGCGAGCTTCGGCCAGACCAAGGCCAGTGGGAAGGGTTTGCGACAGGAGCCACCCGGATGGGTAGCCACGGCGTAGCGACTACAACAGTATATCACACATTATACATATATATATATATATATCTAGGTGAATTATAACGACCTCACACGACCTCACCCCAAATGCTGGTTTATGTGGGAATGGCCCCCCAACCACCTTACTTCAGGTTGGTGAAATATTATAATTCACCCATATATATATATATGTATGTATGTATGTATGTATAGATAGATAGATAGATAGATAGATAGAGTTATATCTTACACAAACATACATATCTATACACACAATATGCCCTCATCTCCGTGGAACCCACCAGAGGGTCCCTTTTAAAGGAAGATCAAAGTCGACTCCAAACCGTCAGGTTCCATGTGTGACAGGAGGGCAATATACTTTCTCTTGGGCAGTGGCTTGGAATATTGGAATCCTGAGAATCTTTGGAATGCCGGTGTCAGTTTGAGCCGCCGGGTCATAATTTTGGCTGTTCGTCTAGAGTTTGGTTCTGGCTTCTCGACAACATGATGTTCTTAGTGGATTCGCGCTAGACAGCAGATTGCATTTTGTGAGTCCTGGAAGGGGGGCTTGTATGAACTACACGAGCACATTAAGTCAGTTGTGTCTTTGGTAAACAAAAAAGATTGGGCCTGCTATGACACTTGTGCCCTGGCTAAAAGATTTCTTGACTTGGGGTTGACAGGGATGCTCATCCTTCACACAAGTAGCCAGTATAATGATTCCTATTGAGGGAAACATGACCATAGGCCAAGCCAACGGAGTTTAGACCTGACATGTCGCATCACAGGTCATTGGCTTGATGGATTTCCATGGCCATTCATTTTAACGCCTTTGAAAAGGAAGCCGTTTTCCCGATATGCGAAACCGCCAGCATATTGGGGCTATGAGTAGCTGACGAAGTGCGTTGCGGGATGCATCGTCATTTAACACGCAAACAGTAAGTGTTTGAGAACTTTCCACAGGCCAACCCCTTTTGACCCATTGGTGTTGGCGTTTACCCCTCTCTCTTGGGTGCCGGTTCTTGGAGTCTTCTCAGTTGGGCCATGAGTCAAAGCAAAAGGGTGGTTCGTCTTGTCAAGAGAACCGCTTTTTTGTTTGGGTGTTTATGGGACAGCACCAGGAAAAACCTCAACTTTGGGGGGAGTCCCCTTAAACAAAAAAACTATGACCAACAAGTTTTGAAGCAAGACACATCTTCATTCCCAAGACCCTGGTGAGTCGCTGAGCTTTCTTCACTTCACACCCAATGCACCACTTCCTTTTCACAATCCCCTTGAGCGGGTCCTTCAAACGCTGAGTAGCCGGCAATATTATTTGGTCTTGTACTGCTGAATTTGGCGGACTTCATCAATTGGGCACAACTTCCAATTTTCTCGTGTTCCCTTCGGGAACAGGTCATACTGTGAACATCATCTGCACAAGTTGGGACGGATGAGAATCATATGAATACTGATGTGACCCACCAATCCCAGCTGGTGCAAAGTGGGCGCATCTTTTCATTTTTAAAAATGACGGTACCCTTTTTAGGGTGGTTTTAACGGGGGAGCACCAGGACCCACACGTAGCGCGCCATTTTGAGGCTCCAAGGCCTCAAGGACAGACCCATCTCTGGGTTTGTGTTTTTTGAGGCTCTAAACCACGGCAGAGGAACCCCCGGCCCAGGTAAATGGAAAGGACAAACAATCCGGAGTTTTTTTTTTGTTTTTTTTCGTCGAACAAACAACAACGATCGGTTTTCGACAAGAAAACTCAATTTGTTGATCAAGATTCCTACCTTTTGCCTTTTGACCAACACCCCATGTTGGGACGCGCCCAGAAGAGATCCGCGATGGAGGCCCTGGAGCTGCTGGCGTCCCTGGGGGCGGACCTGAACCTGGCGCGCGCGGACGGCGCCACGGCGCTGGACTTGGCGGCGGACAAGGACCACGCGGAGACGGCCGGGGGGCCTTGTTCGGGTGGGTGGGGGGGGGGCTGTTGGGGGGGTGGGTGGGTGGGTGTTTGAAGGTTTGGGGGTTGTTGGGGGGGGGGGGGGGGGAATTTGTTGGGCTGTTGGGGGGGGGGGGGAAAGGGATGGAGCGGGGTTGGGGGTTGTTGGGTGTGGGGGGGGGGGGGCTGTTGGGGGGAGGGAACCACAAGGTACCGTTTTTTTGCGGGGTCATTTCGTTTCTCATTCCCGCATCGGTTTTTCCTTTGAATCCGTCCCCCGAAAAAAAGGGTGCCGGCTTACAAAAGGGAACCACACTATTTTTTTTGACAGGCCAAGGCTCAGCTGAAGCATTTGCCCGTGGCCGAATGACCTAGGTGTCCTGGTTGGAGCAGAACGGAGCCGTTCGCGGGCTGACGTGAGGTAGCGACTCAGGATGGCATAGCAGCGCCATATGCTCCTTGTGCTTGCCCTTTTCTTCTGTCCCTGCCCTTTGGGCAACAGACAAAGGGGCCAGCGTGATAATGACGCCCGACTTGCAACAAGTCGAGGGCATTTGAGTTCTCAGGCCAACCAGGGACCCATGTTTCTGGCGGGCTCCTGCCCAGTCCCGGCTGTAAGAGGACCCCATTTTCCGGCGGAGAAATGGGGCGCTTGGGGCTTGGGGCCGGCATGGTGAGATCAGGTGACGCTGCGATGAGAAGGGGCGAATTTGGACAAGACCAGACTGGCCAAGAAAAAGGGAGCTGCGACTTGTTTTTTCCAAGGGCAACTTGGCTTTGCATTGCACTTAGGCCAGAGCCAAGGCGGAGGCAGCGGGCAGGAGAGTGATGCCTCAGCATCTAGCACCTGGCAGCTCAGCACTTTGTGTCCTGCAGATCCTATGGCAAGGAAGCGGGCAAACTCTTTGAGATCGACAAAATCCTGGATCGCACACGTGCAGTGCATGATTACGAGGTCTGGGCATAGAAACTGAGGGGGCAACATCAAACCTCGCGCAACAACTGAAACAAATATCAAACAAGGGCACACAGCACTACACAACACCACACAACACTAAGGTAATTATGATTCACCCACCTGTTTTTAAGAAGCAAGTCCAATTTTTGCCTTAGGTGGTTTGAGTCTTGCAACGCTGGGTGGCGTCATGGCCTGCCATGGCGGCAGTTTGGCGCCTTTGGCGCCACGCGCTGCTGGCCTTGGTGGTGGCTGGGGCGAGGCTGTCGGATTTGCTGGTGGCTACTGCACAAGGGCACAGCTCCCTGCAGCTGGCTTTGGACAGGCGGGTGACGCGGGGGTCATTTTCTGACAAGAATCAAGAGCAGCTTTCAGGGCCTCCCACTTTCGCATGTTGTGTTCTCCCAACAGCTGACAGTTGTGGGCTCTTGGCCATTTTAGGTCTGTCGGGGTTTGAGGGAGGGTTCCGGCGAGGTCCCGCGGAGTGTTTGCGCTGGGGATGCTTTTGAAAGGTTCCTGGGCAGCTGCTTTGGCCCACTATGCCCACCAGCCATGTTTGAGGTTCCATGTCGCTTAGGCCCGACCTGCCGGCCGCTTGGCAGAGCGCGGTGGACGACTTCGGCTTCGGCGTGTTGGCGGTGGCCGCGTACAACGGGGACGCGAGGAGCGCGGAGCTGCTGCTGAGCCGCGGGGCCAAAGTGCCCAAGGGGCAGCTGACCATCTTCAAAGGCCAGGCGCCGGTACAGGCGCGGGGGCTGGAAGACATGTAACAAAGAGCAGGCATATCACAAGTCCGGTTTGGCAGTGTACACAAAGACAACACATGCCCCCCCCAAAACCCTGATAATGTCAGGCGTCTTGCATTGCCCTCCTGTGTTTAGGTTTGATGAATGCGGGTTTATTTGCCAATCCAACGCGCGCCAAAGGAAGTGAAACGGACATGTTCCCAAGGTCTTGTTTGAGTAGCCCAAGCCGACGTCTTTCCTCCCGTGCGAGTTGCCGCGGTTTGTCACAAGCAGACTGTGTTGGCTGGGTGGTTGTGTTGGTTGGAATGGGCGGGTTGGATGGCTCGACTGGTTGGTCACCACAGTGGTGGACGGCGTAGGCCAGGCAACATCCCTGTCAGCGTAAGCCAGGAGAGAGTTCCACTGATTTGAAGCGGGTCAAACTGCTTGGGGAATGAATTTTGCTTACTGTAGGCCCTAGACTGGTTTAGGTCTCAGACTCAAGGTGGTTTGTTTGGTTGAGTTGGGCTGAAACTCAACCTTGGCCAAGCTCTAGCAAGAAAGCCCCCCAAAGTAGGGGCTGGAGATCTGCACGACATGGAGCTCATACCGACAAACGAATTGGGACACAGCGCAACCCTGCCTTTCCGGGGCTCTCCACCGAAGCCAGACGTACCCAGCCCCAAGGACTGTGCAAGAGCCTAAGCGTCTAGACCTGCCAAAAGCCTTCTGAGTAAATCGCGGTCCAAAGCAAGAAGCAACACCCAATCCGTAGAGATAACATTGGCCTTTTCTGGCTGCCGAATCTTTCATAGAACATGGATGCAGTCTCTTGCTTTTGAGGTGAGCTCAGTGGTGGAGTTGGTGGTGCGGCGCAGTGCAATGCTCATAATGCTCGGCACAGGCCGGGCACGTGCGGGTGGTCATAGCAAGTGCGGCGCCAATATGTTGCTGTGTGAAATCCTCAATACTTGGCCTCCAGTTGTTTGAAGAGACAAGCAGCCAGCAGTGGATTCAAAGCAGACCCTCCAAAGCTGCTTTCGCAAGACCGAGCGGTATATGCATTCACAGCCGCACCAAGTCGTGAAGACACTCGTACAGGACCTCGAGTGCTGAAGCATCTACAGATGTTTTTCTAGTCTGTTTGTTTTCTGGCATCATCCTTTCTATTGTTTGTGAGATGCATGCAACCTGAGACTGTTAATCTTGTCCGCTTTTCGCCGCTTTTGTGATACTGTATTCGAATTGCGTTGTTGTGTAAACAAGCGAACTCAGAGACAAAGGGAAGCAGCATATGGTCACTTCCGCGATGGCCCTTGTCCATGACTGATGTAGGGCCATAGCAAGGGGAGCCATTGGAAGTGGCCCTTGGTGGTCCTTAATTGTCTCTCATAGGCACTAATAGTCACTAATAGGGTGCAAGGCCCTTACTTGCTGGTGCTCAGTAGGGAATGTGGGAATGAAGGGGTCCCCTTAAAAGGAACCCACTCGTTGGATCTTTTTCGGGTCGTTCCATTTCTCCTTCCCCTGCCGCAGCCCCTCGCTCTGACTCACCTAGGCTTCAACATGCCCAGCTACTTGCATGAGGCGCAGAAGAAGATCTCCACCGCGAGAGCGCCGTCGGAGGCTGCGCCGGAGGCGCTTTTTGCTTTTCTGCTTCCGAGACGCGGGGGTTTTCTGGGCGAATGAGTGTAACTAGCAATTCCACCAGTCTGGGGGTAGAACGCGAGAACGCTCGCATTCTATCACGAGGGTCCTTCTCCGGGAGTTTCCCTTGCCAGTTTGGGACTCATAGCTTGGCCTGGTTCTTTGCTGTTCATTGTATGGGTTGGCACGATTTGAGGCTAGCCCAGGCATTCGAAGCCATGGTGTTCCCCTCCCACCAGTCAAAGCCATCAATGTGGCAAGGTCAAGGAGAAAACATCTACTGCAACCTTGTCCCTTTGTTGGACCTGGCCGGGGCCAGCCTTCCCCTGGCAAGTCGATCTGATTTTCTGAAAGAAAGGGCTTGCTCCTTGCGAAACGCGAAGCGCCTGTCCATTGCGATTCACCAGCACCGCCACGGTTTTCACGATTCACTGCTACAATCAGCCTGCAAGAGGAGGTTCATGTGCGGTCCAAGGTGGAACTGATATTACACATCTGACAACAAATGGACGCACATGAACTTGTCGACAACAAATGTACACATCTTCAGAAGGCAATTACACCTGACATCTTTCGTGGATGACTGGTACTCAGCATCAGCCGAGCTTTTTTCCTCGACATGGATCCAGGTGCCGGACATGGGGCGTGCGCTGGCGCTCTTGATTCGCGCGGGGGCAGAAGCCTCCGAGAAGTCGCAGGAGGAGATCACCACCGGTTTTCAAGTCTTCTTCCCTCATGACATGAGCGTGTCGTTGTTTAGGGGCCGCCCAAATTGGTGGTTTTCCTTTTCGTTTCCCTTTGAAGCCACAAAGAAGGGTCGCCTCAAAAAAAGACAGAGCCTTGTGAGCCGCGCGTGGTGTTTTGAATGTCAAAACGGCGCTCCTAATTGGATATGTTCACCAAAAGCGCTTTGCGGCTCAAGATTTAAGAGATTTCCAGGGACCGCTGGTTTCTTTTGTCTGCTTGTCCATTTACTAGGACAACCCATTTGAACCATGGTCAAAACCCGGACAAGTCAAGGTCAGTAAGGGACAACCGCAGCCACAAATGGGTGCGGCCGCCTTTTAAGCCTTTGCATGGCTTTGGGCAGACATTGAACACCGATCGGTTTTGATTCTGACTCATTTGTGCAGGTGTTTCTCTTATTTTTCTCGTTCTTTTTCTTCTTTCGATTCTCGTGGGAAGCTCATTCGCTGAGTGATGGAGGAGGGCTCAGACCTGGCCCGCGCGGCGTACTTCCTGGACTCGGCGGTGGCCGGGAGCCCCAAAGCCGCCGCCGAATGGGCCGAATGGGCCGAATGGGCGAGAACCCCTCCAGGAGGTTGGGTTTCATTTTGGCTTTCCTTGTGACCCCCAGCAAAGGGGGTCCACCATTTTTTCAGAGAGCGCCAAATGGCTCTGTCTTTTTGCAGGATGTGGGCCCCCAAAAGGGCGCAGCGGTTTTGCTGTTGGTTTCTCCCTTTAAAACCACCAACAAAGGGGACCAACTCACAAAAGACGGGTCCAAACGGTCCAAATGGCAAAGGGGTATGTGTCAAAATAGCGGATTGGTGTGCCTTTGTATCCCTATAAGTTTATAAGCCTACCCAAAGCAAGGTACCCTAACAAAACACACCAAGAATAGGTAATAATTTTAAGGGCCCACCTTGGACATCGTTTGGGGGTTAAAGATTTTGGAGGATGTTCCCCATGAAAGATCAACGGGTGGGAGCGCGTCAGTCCAGTTGTCGGGCTGCATGCGATAGCTCAAGTGACAAAGAATTGAACATAGAGAATTCCCTTAGCAAGAAAGATGTGCAACTCGCTTGGGAATACAGCCCGCCCTCGAATCCAAGCAGCTTGAGAGCAGCTTGGACAAAATAATTGTGCGGGAGAAACAGACTTCCGGGTCCTGTGTTGGCAGGCTTTTTGAGCAGATCTTTGGCCGCGTGTTTCGCTCTGTCAGAGGGATGTTGCATCCCACACTCTCATCCGCCTGAAAGAAATAACCGGGCATTTGGCGGGGGCATGGCCGGAGATACCACATACATACAGAAGCATGAAGACAGACCATCCCTTCCGGAAACCGACCTCCCCGATATGGTTCAACGGTTTCCTTTTGGATTCCCGCAAACCAGTAGCCCAAGAAAAGACAAACATATATGATAACTATTGCCAACACCGTACCAGCCATTGACTTCAAGATTGTCATGACCATGCCATGCAACTCGGCCGCATGTGATGAAGACAATTATGCTAAAGGCATGGTAGTGCTAGTTGACGCCTTGTCCAGTGACGACGTGCTATCTATGCTGCCAAGCCATGCTATGTATGCCGCCACGACAAGTTGACACGTTTGTTTGTTTCCCGCATGCTCGCATGTTCCAGGTTGCATGGGCGTTTTTTTTTTTGATGATACCCTTTTTGGGTGGTTTTAAAGGGAAACCACAAGGAACACCATTTTGGGTCTCCTGAAAAAGACACCCACATGTGCCTTTCGGGTTCCAACACCTCGTTACTGAGGTGGACGTCTTGGTCCAGACAGGAGTTCGACGTCGGGCTGCCAGCCGTGCAGCTCCCCGACATTAGGGGCTCCGAAGTATCCAATTCATACAGAGGTGGAGAAGCAGAGGCGATGTTGGATATCCCTAAGCCCAAGTATGTTTGCGTATGACAATCTTCATCCCGGATGAATCAAGCTTGTGGATCAATTATGGGTGTGTTTTGTTGAAATTGCGAAGGATCCCTTCTAAACTGGGATGACCCGTTGTATTCAATCTCGGATTCCCATTGAATTGGATACTTTGGGCGACGGGACCTGGCCGGCTTGCCTTGGGACGGATTCGCGGGACTCAGGTGCTCTGATCGCCGCGCTTTTGGGCATCAGCCAGCTGAAACATCGCCCGAGTCTTGGGGCGCGTGCCATGCGGCTTTTCGTCCATTATTACCCTCCCACCAATTAACATTCAACTTGACAGGGGGTCCTGGTTTGGACCATTTTCCTGACAAAGGGATCCCCGGTCAGTGTGAATTGGCGGGAGGGTATTGTTATTATTAGTTTTGGGAAGACCTGTTGAAAGGGAGCCTTGAGCTTGTTGCCTGAAAGAGGTCAGCAGTTTGAGGGACCCGTTCTAAACATTGCTGGCACTTGTTGTTTGAGGATGTCTGACATCCGTGGATCCTCAAGGGGGCTATGGGAGGGGAGGGGGGCTCTCCCTTATTAACCCCGTTCAGCTCTTATCCTTGGCTTATCCTGGGCTTATCCAGAGATAGCCCACTCCCATAGAGCCCCCCCATAGCCCCCCCCCCCCCCTTAGGCTCCATGATACATGGCCCTGGAATTTCAGTGCCGAGTTTTTTTGGGCTTCGCTTCTACTTTTTGCCCCTAGGCCTGAACCGCGCCTTGCTGCAGCAGCCCCGGATGGCAGGTGGGCACCCTTCATGGAACCTGAGGGCTCCTGGAAGAGCATTTGGCTTTTAAAGGGCCCCCCTGTCAGGTTCCATTGGTGGGAGGGTCTATGTCATGAAAGGGATGCGGAGCAATGGCTGCGGCCTTCCTTTTGGTGTCCCTTCAAGCCAACCTGAGAAGGATACCATCAAGACACCCCACACCCAAATTCTCGGGATTGCTCTGAGAGGGCTGTGTGGAGCAGGGTTGGGCAATTGAACCTCTGGTTTTAAACATTTAAACATGGCCACTGTTGTTGAAGCAATCTTTTGGTTTCCTTTTCAAGTGGACCAAAGAGTGCTGACAGAACTTTCGCCCGGCCCTGGCTTCTCGTGTAGGGCGACTCTTTCGAGACTTCTATGGCTTCGACATTGTGCTGCCTGCTAGTTGAGCAGAGTTGCACTGGATGCATCGGCAGTTTTTTCTTTGTGAGCTGTGTGGTGCTTGTTACTTGCAAGTTTCTATTCTGTTGGAAGCTTCTCCGTGCTTCTCGTTTCGCGCTTCTCCGTGCCTCTCGTCGCTCGCGCTGTTTTGCTTCTGGGTCTCTAGCGGCTCCGGGTGCTTGGGCCGTGGGTACCTTTTGCCAACCGCGCCAGGAATCAGAAGCGGAGCTTCTCAGCCCGTGGCGCGCTCAAGCGGATTTCCAGCCGGCTGGCTCACCCCCCGATCTTTTCTTCAGAGAGTCTCATGAGTTTTGAGGAGCTTTCAAAGCATGTCCTTCCAAGACACCTTGCGCATGGTCAACGGCAAGGCGCGTTTTCAACCCACTGGACAGCCATTTCGCTTCAGCTTCAGCCAGGCCTTGCAGGTGGTTCGCGGTCTGCTTCAGGCACGGGCAGCCAGAGACTTAGTTGCGTCTCAATTCTCTGGAGACCAGAATGGGAGTGCCTTCTTTTTAGGGGACCCCCCAAAAATATATATGGTGATGTTCCTTTCAGTTTTTTGCTTTACAACCACCACAAAAAGGAGTACCCTCCAAGAAAGAACTGAATGGGCTTAGGGTTTTATCGGGGTTTCCCTTTAAAGCCGGCAAGGGTGCTCTGCAGCCTGCTGCCGTTCGCATGTGGCTGATGACTTTTGAGGATCCCAGCTTTGCCCAAAGCAGGCAGAGCGGCAGAGGGCTCAGCTCAAGGTCTCTGCAAACATGAAGGTCTTCCAAGTGGTATCTCAGTGGATAACCAGCCTTGTCAATCCTGTTTGGCATACAGGCATACACACATGTGTATATATATATATAGTGACATATATACATTCTATATTTCTATTTCAATGGAACAAGTCTTTGTGCTGCCTCAGGCAAGACGCCCCTCCACCACTGCGGCCTCCTCAAATCGATCACCTCATCACCGCGTCGCCGCTTTTGTGCGGAGGTGCCGAGCACGGGTTAACGGACCTAGCTGAGGAGCGCTCTCGGGCTCTCGGGTGACTCGCCAACTGGGCACATGGTTTGCCTTTTCCACTGTTTGTCGGATAAATAAGCCGCCCCCCGGGTAGTGTAGAAACCCTTTTCAAGGGAGGCGGTTCATTTCAGCCGAAAAGGCAAACCATGACTAGGCTGTGGTGCTTGGCTGTCCTTTTGGTTTCCCTTCCAAGCCGGCAACTGCCAGCTCAAAGGGCACCGCAGCCTGAAGCAAGATGAAGCCAAGCGGCTTGGGTCGGGAAGTAAACACCTGCGTTCAACTTGTGCTCCTGTGTCGAGAATCTCCCAATGATGGAGGGATAGAGACGGAATTGGAATGATTTTTCGCACGCGACCTGGGTGTGCCTTTTTTAAGCGGACACTCCAACATGGCCGGGTCGCCTTTCGGTTCTCCGGTCAAACCACAAGCAAGGGGTACCCTCAAACAAAGACACCCCCCCACGTGGGTGTGTTTCCAAACTGGGGAGCCATTTTCAAATTCGGTTTCTCTTTGACTTCCCTGAAAAACCGCAACCGTTCAACTGGGCTGAAGGGCAATGAATCCATCCTGAATTGTCGGGTTAAAGGGACTGGCCCCTTTGTAGTGGTTTTCCTACAACCGTTTTTTCATCGGGATGGACTCGGATTGGTCAACACTCCATTTTGAGGAGCCCGTTTTTCAGCGACCCACAAGCAGACGCGCCCCTCACTCCGCATCTGGAGGAGCTGCTGGCTGCAAGAGCAAATCTCGACAGCAAGAGCAAGGCGATGCAGAGGAGTTATTGACGCAATACGTGTAAAAATTAGGGACACAACAACAGCTATATTTTCCTCTTGGTCTCCCTTCAAAACCAATCTGAAAACGGTACCGGGGTTGCTGTGATGCTTGACATCATATACTAATATAGATCATATCTGGGCTATCCTTCACGGTTGGTGTGCCATGGACAAGGACACCGCTTCATCAAGCAGTAGTCCATCGATCACTTGGCGTGCCGGTCCTCAGCGACGACCTGCTTAGGTTACTTTCATGTCACTTTGAGTTTGTTGGCTATTTGGTAAGTGGCGGACCTTTATCAACCCAGACAGGACCAAACAAAGACGAGCGCAAGGCATGCTGGCAAAGAAGAGTTGCATGGAGTTGCCAGAATGCAGTGCTCCACAAGCCAAAACAAAACAAAATGAGTGGTTTCCTTGTGATGTCCCTTCGGGCCACTTCACAAAGGGTGCCCTCGAAAACACACCCCTTGGATGCCTTCACGGATCGCGAGGTCGTCAAGGCTTTACTCTCTGCAGGGGCGAGCGCCACAGCAGTAGATGCAGCAGGTGCGGGGGGACGACCGCTTGACGCCGGACCGGGACCAGCAACTTTTGTCCGCGGGACACCGCAAGGAGGTTGTGCAAACCGCGGCTCGGGTTCTCTTAGAACGATACTCCTGTTTGGACAAGCTTCCGCACAAGCGCAGCGATACGGCCGCCTTTCAAGGGTTTGGAAAAGGGCCCCTAATTGTGACAACTCCCCCCCCTGTGGTTGTTGACGCACGCTTTAGCCAGGAGTTGACTCGCTCAAGCCGAGTGTTTTTGTTGGGAGCCAGACACGTACGTGACCAGGCCGCGCTCCACCGGAGTTGGCCAACCTGCTTGGCTGGACACAGGCCGTTTGAAGCAAATGGGACACGCCAAGTCCCACAGGGCTAGCTTGCTGTTTGGCTTCCCTTTAGAAGCAACCTGAAAAGGGTGGCCTCATGTGGTTTTTGGAGTTGGCACCCTTTCCAGGGGCAAAACAAAAGGAAGACCTGACCGCAATTAGTGTGGTCCCAAATCCAAATTTTGACATACCCAAACCATAGATTCGACAGGTGCAGCTACCGAATTTATTCGCCTGTGAAGACGAATGTCCAAAGCCAAGCCGGCCTGCTTGAGGTTCGTCGCCTGTTCGAAAAGAAGTCGGACAGGAGAACCAATTTTGGACCTCCCCTTTATTTGGAAGTCAGTTTTAGACTCTTAGACTCCCCGGCGAGGAGTTTTTCTGGGGGTTCGTCAGGACCTTTTGTCGTGCGAGGCAGGGCTCCAGGCTCCTGGTGCACGAGTTGCTGCCCAAAGGACCATGGGGCGTTCGGACATGGGTGTGGGTCCAAACCGTTTTGGTACCATTTTGGGGTAGGTGAATTCACCACCTATTTTAGTGGTTGGATTGGGATGTTCACTGGGGGTACGGGATTTTGACCCATGGCCACATGTCCAAGGGGCGGTTTGCTGTTTTTGGAGGCAGCCTGAAGGGAAAAACATATCAGGGTTTTTCCACCCGAACAAGTCGTGGAGATTGTTGTTTTTTTTGGAAGGTGCTGTTTTTCTTGACTTGGTGCCCTTTTGAATGGAAGCCAAAAGGAAAGCCGAATCTATTTTCATGTGGGTCCGAAGCCTGATTTTGACACATACCGATGTTGGGAAGGAATCCTCGCGTCAACTCGCGTCAAAGTCTGCCCTACCAGCCCAACTGTGAAGCGGCGATATTCTTGTGGTCATGTTATGAGAGGATGCGGGTTTCCTCAATCGCTCAATTGAAGCCCATTCAGATTCGCCTGCTTCGCAGAGTTTTGCGCAGTCGTGACGGATGTGCTTGCAGCCCAGTTTAGTACATGTAAACCTCAGCATTTCTGATGCTTTCTCATATGATGCAGGTCCGCCAACGTGAACAGGCAGCCAATGGAATGCCATTTGATGCGCTGATCGGGACAAGCCTCGGGTTCCGACGGTTCAACGGGATTGCCAGACCTTTCTTCCTTCCGGATGAATCAACCTGGCACAATGCGGGGACCCCATACTCCCCCCAAACCCTCTGAAATGGGAAACCCTCTCCATCAAAATTGTGCAACCATTTGGCTTGGCAAGATTTCCTGGGTACACTCGCGGAATTTTCTGGGTTTTATTCACCTCTCAGTTTTCATTAACATTTTCGCTTTAGCCAAGTGGGCGTTGTTTTTTAGGAGATCCCCCAAAATGGTTGGTATGACACACCCAAGTGCACTTTGTTTGTGTGTGTGTGTGTGGGTGTCAGGATGGCAGCTGCACTGGGATAGCGGGAACATGGCCGAGACGGTGCACGCCTTGTGAAGCGGCTTGCAGATCACGCAGCAACCAAACACCTAAATTGCAAACACCTAAATTGTGTTTGAAGACATTCAGGGACTGCTCTTTCAAGTTCCAGTTGTCAATCCGCAAGGGAATACCAGGGACCTGGTTGACTTAAAACGCCAGGCGGCGAGTAGACCATGGCACACCCACTACCCACTGTACCATCATGTAGTATTGGGTGTTCAGAATGATAATTACAGCACTAGCAGCCATATTGGTAGAGCGAAGGTACAAGTGTCAATGTTGACCCCGGATTCATAAGCCCGTCCAACAAATAGTTGGGTGTTCCCTCCAAAAGTGTTTTGCAGCCCCACAAGGGGGGCACTTTCCGATCAACATTTGCGGGTTAAACCCCTGGTACCCCCAGATGTCTTTAAACATGGACCAAACAAAAGGGGGGTGCACAAAAAACGGTCATCTGGGTTTTGACCCACACCATCCCACGCCCTATCAATCTGTTCCAAGACACCGCAAGATTCCGAGGCATGGAACAACTGTGAGATTCAGGTCATGGATGTGAAGGCGGGACATCGATGTGATGCGGCGCCTTCCGTTTGGGAAACCCGATCGGAACGTCAGCCCATGCGAACGGCTCACTCCCGGCGCGTCTTGCCCGAAGGGGGGGGGGGTGTTTTAAAGAGAGGCCAAAGGAACAGCTCTTCCTTTTGTTTTTTTTTGGGGGGTATCCCAAAATACGCACCTGGCAGGATATGACTGCGGACCTTTTCGTCAAGGACTTTCTATCCTTGCGAAGACCTTTGCTGGTCCGTGGTGCACTCAGCTCTGAATGAAGACACGGTCTTTGGTTCTGCTCCAAGGGTTTGAGGTACATTGTAACTGTGTCCTTTCGGGGGTTGCCTTGTTTTTAGGGCCAAAGGAAGACCAGCATTTTGCTGGAGTCCCCTATTTTAGAGGTAAGCCCAAGTGGATGCCCTTGATAGGATGGCGGCGAATCTGTATATAGTCCCTAGGCGGTGGCGCGAAGCACATGCCCGCTTTGGAGCGCTGGAATCTGCGCTATTTGGTGCGGAAGGCGGGCTTTGGTCCAAAATATCAACTCGTCTATGCTGAATTTGTCAGGGACATAGGCGACTTCCAAAGTTTCCCGCAACTCAGCAATTTTGTTCAGCAATGTTTTGCCGCAGATTCTGAGCGTGGCTCATGTGAACTGCTCGTGTGAGTCATGTGAAAAGTCTCAATTTTGAAACAGTCTGACGCAGCACTTTCTCGGAGGGCCTGATTTTTGGTGGGCAGATCAAACACAACATGTTGCAATGCGACATGCTCCGTCCAGTCTGCAAGGCAGGAGACACTCTGATGTCTGCCCGAAGCCTACAGTGCACAGTGCGGATGCTTTGGTCGACAAAGCTGCTTCTGAGATTGGCAACTCGGTGGCTCTGTTGACTCATTCCAGTTTGCTGCTGACATGTGGTGTAGCTGAAGAGTCGTACACGCATGTGGCAGTCGGCAGCAAGAGCATGTGGGGCCTGCAGGCAGTGACAATCCCATATCCTGAAGACTTTGGGGATGCTGACGCCAAAGATGCGATAGACCTCACTTTGAAAGAGCTGGCAGCTCAGTGCTTTACCGCAAATGAAATTAAGACTTGGCGAGTGATCTTTACATCCTTAGGGTCTAGAGTCTTGAGGGTGTCCTCTTGTCATCGCCGGATACTGATATGAGCAGCTGACAAGGGATTCTAACAATATGTCGCAGCTTGACCACGGAGATGCTCAGTCTGAATCAAACGACGTGTTTAGTCCCTGAAACGAGGCCAAATGGCCTTCTATGTTCGGGTTGAATTAAAGACCACCCATGTGTTGCTCTATCTCAATTGGACGAATTGCGGGCGAAGATCCCGGCACGGCCAAGGTACGTGGAGCGCGTGATGGGAAAGGTGAACTCCTCTTCGGGCACTCCGCATGGCGCTGAGACGCAAACTGGTGTGAAGTGGGCTGCAGCAGAAGCTCATCTTTGTCACGCAACTTGCAAATTTAAGGATTCGTGACTAAGGACTGTCATAAATGCGGTAGATGTTGGAAAGAAGTGACAGTCTAGAGGAGGTGCGTGTGTGCTCTGTTGTCGACAGCCACCAGGCTGTACGTCTTCTCCGTGGTGGAGCAAGATGACCCAAAGTGCGCCAGCCCTGCGCAGTCCTGCGCTTTGAATCCGGTTGTTCGCCAGGTTCCACAAGCTCCTGTCATTGGTCCAAAAGGATGTGGCTCCTCACCCTCACTGGCTACAGCAGGTGGTTCGCTCAGCTGCGAATGCCGTGCTTCGTGTTCTAGAATCTGCAAAGGGGTGCTGCCCTTGTTTGTTGGTTTCAAGGGAAAATCCTCAAAGCCGGAAAACCGTTTCGCCATTTTGGGCTGGGTCTCCCGAAAAAGGACGAGACACGACGAGCTGAGGAGCATGACCAACCACGGTATCGCTTCGGGAATATCCAGTTCGGCCTGGGCCCTCGTGGTTCTGGAGCACCCCAGCGCCGGCCTTGGGCAGTGCAGAGATTGGAGCCTGGGGGAGTCGTGTTTTTTTTTTCCCCATCGAAACAGGTGTGTTTGTTCCCCAGATTGCTGAAAGCTATAGGGGTTCTAACTTCTAACAAGAAGGGAAAGTGATTTGCGAGATTTGGGTGCAGGTGCAGTTTTTTTCGCTATTTGGGGTCTGTGCAGGTGTAATGTTTTTTTTTGGGGATTTGGACTCTTTAAATGGAGGTTTTCTTTGGGGTCCCCATTTTTCGGGGTGGTTTCCCTTTGGTTTCCCTTTACAACCATCAAACATAGCGGGCACCTCCCCGTGAAGAGCAACATTTGAGGCGAGTGTCGATGAATCCACCCCAACTTGGGCCTCTCCGTGTTTCGACTAATGAAACAGCTGACAGCGAGAGGGCACCTTGAGTGCTCACTTGCCGAGCTTAGGCATTACCACACCCATGCCTATGCTTCCCTCTTCAGCGGGAGGAAAAGCTGGCTGCCGGCCCTCAGAATTCTCGAAACCGCACATCCATCTTGGATCACAGGGACTTGAAAACGAGAGAAAGCGGTTATTGACTTGCTGAAGTGGTTTGTCTTTTCCACGTTTCCACTGCTTCCACATGTTTCAAGCTGTCTGAGGTTTTATCCGCCTCCAAAGTCTGCCCTGTCGCGGCAGCATGTGTCTTGGCTCTCATAGCTTCCATTTGGTGCTTCGGTCTCTAACCACGTTCCACACTTCTCAGGCGCCTTGCCACTTAATTACATCAGACCTGTGGCCATGCAATTGGCTTGGAATGCAGATTGCGCGAAGCCCAGGCGATACAAGCGCTGCATGAGGACCGGCAGAGAAGAAAGCAGCTGCCGCCGGAGGCTCACGCATCAGCTCCGGCATTTCTAAACAAAAATGCCAGAATTACTGCTGAATTTGGCTTGATTTTGTGGGACTTGTGTTTGCTTTCATTCTGCAAAGCATTCAGACACATCCCTACGAGTAGCCCTACGCAGCGGGCAGTGAATTCACGTCCTTCTGCAGTGCGGCATTTTTTTGTTGCTGGTGCTTCCGAATTGCGGGATAGCACTTAGATCAAACCATGGCGGTGACGCATTCAGCCAAGCCTCATAGTGCTCAAGCCTGACGGCGATTATGCTTTTGGACGCTTGTAATGAAGCGTCCCGCAGCAGCAGAGGAACCTCCCACGAAGCGTGCAGCTGGAGATGGCCCAACATCGGGTGTATACCTGATCCATGACAACGGTGGCCGGCCCTTCAAGGTTTCAGTGCAGACAGGTCCAAAGGCCCAGGTGCAAGTCTTCAAGTCGATCCAGGATACAGACGACGATGACGATGAAGATGACGACGATGAAGAGCAGGGCGGGTCGGGTGCGACATGTAAAGTGATGACGGTCGCGGAGCTTCAGAAGCAGCTCGGGAAAGGAGGACAGCAACTACTCCTCCAGATGGCCCCGGAGATGGCTGAAGGAGGAGAATCAGAAGAAGAAGATGCGGACGAGGCGGAAGAGGACATGCCAAACTATGAAGAAGAGGCCTGCACCTCCTTTGATGCGGAGAGGGTCTTTGTCGGGCAATGCCCAAAGCATGGCGCTCGGTTTGATGGAAACTCCATTTTGCTGCTAAAGGAGGGCTTGAAGTATGTGTTTGTTGGAGAGTCTGTTTTCTCCTTTACGGCGAAATCACCCATTACGAAGTACCTCTCGCCGGTTGGCAACAATGACGTCCCTTACCCGTGGGCCATGGATGAACAAGGTTTCCGATACTTGATGACCTTCTCTGTCATTCTGGGTGGCAAGCTTTTCGAGAACAGTGGCACAGACCCTTACGATCTTTTCCATGATCGGGCCCTCATTACTGCGGACATCGGTACGGTGCCTCCAACGCAGCCTTTCCACAAAGAGTTCCAAGGGATCACTGAATTCTGGATCGGCGAAGGCCAGTTCACCTTGAGATATGAGCCGCACCCCAAAGAAGATTTTGACCGGCTGGCAGAGATGGGGGAGCTTTCTGTGGTGAAAGGTGGTGCCAAGATCAAGGTCTCGAAGGCTGACTACCTGAAGCTGATGCAGGACTATGCTGAGTTTGCCGGCGTTGAACCTCTCCACAGCGAGACGTTGATCAAGCGTGCCATCTGACCACACATTGGCGGGCATCCAAAGGTCACACATATGGGGGTTGACAAAAGGTCCTTTACGCGGGATGATCATTGGGGGAAACGACAAATAAGATGATATGTCCGACCAAACCGGAAAAGTTACACATGGTCATTTGGTGGTCGAAGGGAGTATTGATCAACCCCCATATCAACAAAGCACCACGTGGCTGCAAGCAACACTTGCTGGTCTACGTGTACTTCCAAGGGGCATCTCAAACATCATGGCTGCGGGGCAATCATAGAATCGGATCATGAATGGGACAATCTCAGATGTGTCCTTTGCAGCTTGTCACATTTAGACATTTAGGCAGGCATGGCCATAATTCCCATTCCCCCCACTTTGTAGTATTCTCTACTTGCCCAAAAACACGGAAGCTCACAACAAACATGTGACACGCGTGTGGGGCAAAACCACAAGCGCCCGATAAAACAAAGGACCTATGGTTCTTGCTTGAAGCCAGGGTGCATCGAAAGAAGCGAAACAAGGGGCATCCTTGCTGCTGTCACATTGATCTTCCTGATGTACCTGTTTGCCTTCCGCTGATATCGGAGAAATGCAATTGAAGTCAATGACAGCTCACAAGTGGCGGGTGGCTGTGGCAGAGCAGCCCTACGGGTCCGAGGCGTGCATGTTACAGGAATTCCAAGGGAATCTAACCATTCAGCAAGGCAATTGGTCCAGGGGGCCAGTTGATTCCGCTCGGCCTTGCCCGCACGGGGGGCGCGGCTCCTTTTCATGGCTTGAAAGGGATGTCCGCATGACGGCGCGGCCCTTGCAAGTCGTGCAGAAATGGGGAGACACATACGGAAAGGTTCAAAGTAAAATTTGGTTAGTGGCTCAGAACCATTGGTTTGGAGTCTTGACAGGTTCAACCCATCACGAATGAGTAGCCGCCAATCATGGCAGACCAAAAAGGCTTGAAAGATTGTCCTTTTGAGGGGTGAGATAATTATTACCGCAATTTCTTTCCGTCTAAATCCGCATTTGTTTTCCAGTGCAGCTGAAGCAAGCAAGCAAGCAAGCAAGCAAGCAAGCAAGCAAGCAAGCAAGCAAGCAAGCAAGCAAGCAAGCAAGCAAGCAAGCAAGCAAGCAAGCAAGCAAGCAAGCAAGCAAGCAAGCAAGCAAGCAAGCAAGCAAGCAAGCAAGCAAGCAAGCAAGCAAGCAAGCAAGCAAGCAAGCAAGCAAGCAAGCAAGCAAGCAAGCAAGCAAGCAAGCAAGCAGCAGCAGCAAGCAGCAAGCAAGCAAGCAAGCAAGCAAGCAAGCAAGCAAGCAAGCAAGCAAGCAAGCAAGCAAGCAAGCAAGCAAGCAAGCAAGCAAGCAAGCAAGCAACAGTGACGAGAAGAGAAGGAGAAGAGAAAGAAAATAATACGGCCGAAGCAGTTGGATGGGACCTGGGGCTGAGAATGTTGAGAAGAGGCTGAACTCTCCCGGAGCTTTTGCAGAACTCTCGCAGAATTCTCGCGGAACCCTGCGGAACCTTTCCTCAGAGCCGCCAACTGGAGCCTATCTGGGCAGAGACCCCATCGCTTTCAGCTGTTGGGGAATAAAAATGCAAGTGGCTCCCTTTGGTGCAAACACTTCTCCTCATATATAGGCGCATTGCCTCTTCAGAAACTGTCGCCATCCAGCTTTGCTGGAGCGTACCTGGTATCCCGATGTAGACGCTGCTCTCGTTGGGGAGGCCAGCGCTGGGCTAAAACGTGCCCCGCTGCTGAGCTGCTAGATGTGAAACTGCGCCGCAGCGTGCGAGCGACTTCGTGGACGGCGGATGAGTGCCGGGAAGAGGTCCGTAAGAGCACCGGCAATTCCGTGCCGGGACGCCGGATTGAGAATGCTTTCCAGACCATGGCCCAGAAATGCCCAGAGTGATTGCCAGAACGTCACCCTTTCTGACCGCTTTCATTGCGTGTCATGTGAGGACCGCTCTTGTGCGCTTGCGTGTTTGTGTATGACTCGACAACTGGAACACTCTCCATCCAACGCAATCAACTGACCAGGTCGGGCATCGGCAGTCCAGGAAGAAAATCTTTCGTTTCGAGGCTAAAGTGCGACCCGTTTCCCGACAAAGCAGCCCTCTCGCAGTCCCGCTGTCTTTTGTAGCTCCCCTATGTGCGCGTTTGTGTGCTCGAATGCTTGTGGGTTTGGGTGTTCGTGTGTGGGTTTGTGTCTTTGCGTGTTTGTGTGTTTATGTTGATGTGTGTTTATGTCTGCGTGTCTGCGCCGCACACTGTAGCAGCAATGCTGCATGCAGGCGGGAAAAAATGCAGATTCAGGCGGAAAAAAATGTAGAACCCCCCCCCCAGCCCCAACGGTTTGACCTTCGAGATACAGCTGAGCAATGACTAGACCTGCTAATTCGTTTGTCACTGAGGCCAGTGCAAACGACCCATGATGCTTTGATGCTGAAGAGCGAGCTGCCGCTATTCTGTGAGCAGGCGCAGCGTGTGCGCCGTCGTCAAAACACCTGCTTGCTGGGGTTGGTAGGGATGGTCATGGATTTTTTTGGGATTTAGGCAACCATCATAAGGCGTCCTAGCAAGGGAACCATAACCATAGTCTTTTTGTGGAGTTTTGACCATGACACATTGTGTGTGTGCGTTTGCCCTGCTTTTGGCATTCAGGTCCCTGGAGATATCATGTATGCACGGGCCTGTTTGGGTGGCTTTCTGAGAATAGACCTGGTCAACTGAGGTTCCAACTGACTGGGGTCATATGACCTTCAATGAAGAGACGAGTGTCTCCATCTCCCGTGAGCCCTTGCCTCATTGATTGACCTTTTGAGCTTTGAGTTGTTTTTTTTGCTCAACTCAGGTTCTCCTGGGATGCAGAAGAGAGCGACAGCCATGTCATTAACTCTCTTCAACTCTGATGCACTCGCTTCAGACTCTGATGAGAGGTTCTGCGAAGAAAAAGGTGCGTGCTTTTTGCTGTAAGAAGCTTGCGCCTCGGTATATGCATACCAAGCAGAAGTGCAGGATCCAGCAAGAAAGAGAGAACATCGAGGCTGGAACCAAGTGGGGTGTAGTGTTAAAACAGAAGCAGGCAATGTTACGAGAAAGGAGATAAGATCTGGTTTCAGGGATCCAAGTTTGTGCCGGGACCCGCACGGGCGTGGGTGTGTGTGTGTGGTGTGTGTGTGGGCCTTTTCTTGATCTTATCACAATGCGTCAATGCTTTGACTGACATAATTATCTTCTTTTCTGATGTGGTTGCTTCTGAGTACAACAACTTTTCTCTTTGACCATTATATATATATATATATCGCGTCCTTTGTCCTATCTGTTTGTCGCCTACTGTGCAGTCATCTATCGGTGACTTTTGTGAGACTCCTCTGCCTGTTGCTTGACCAGCGACCGCCAGCCCAGATCTGAGGCCTCCACGATCATCTCTCCTCTCTTATTGCTCCAGTGCACGGCATGGCGTGTGCTTCGAGGCTTACCTGTTTCTGGGTTTGTTTCAAGGGGGGGTTGTCCTCCTATTCAGATCCATCAACACCCTTTGTCAGTGAAAGTTAGCGAGGGAAAGGCCAAGAACCAGAAAGAGGTGCGGCCGCCTTTATATTTCCTTACTCATGGGCCCACAGGTTTTAGTCTGTATTTCCATTTGCCAGGGCAACCGTTGTCAATTTACGTTGGAGAGCCTCGCTCGCCGACGCAGGTCCGTCTCCGAGAGATGCGAGCTCGAATGGCAGAGGAGCGGAAGACCCGCCTGGAGCAAATTCAGGCTGAGTGCCGCTTCTCCGCTTCTCCGGTGGTGGTTTGGTCGTCAGGTGCTCCTATCCTGATGCAAATATCCGGTAGCTACCTATTTGACACACCAACAGTCGAGCTAGTTGGGTGTGTATAGCCTTTTTGGTGGCTAAACCACCATCTTGGGCGTTCGATTCCAAAAATAGAAGACACTCATTTGGTTTCACATGGAAGGGGTTCAAATCCCCAACAGAACCAATAAACCAATCCATGCTGCGCCTGGGGTTGGTAGATTGACAAGCTCCTGATTGATGACGTGGCTGGATGCTTTAGACCGAAGTGTCATGATGGACGTGAGAAGCCTGCCTCCGCTAAGAAGAACCTCAGTTTCGATCCTCCAACATTGGTGAAATGGTTGACCACCGTATCCCGCATCCCGTATCCATTCACTGCGAGGCATGTTGCAAGTTGATACAGTTTCTAGAAACGAGGGCCCACATTGATCACAACCTCAACTTACAAAGTACCTCTGACACCATGACGTTGACGATTTTTGCTTGCTAAGTCCATCACACATATTCCCAAACCACTCCAGACCAGCAAAGGGCCTTTGCTGATGGATTTTTGCAGGCCATTCTTAGTCACCTGGCAGCCTATCGAAGGGCCAACTTGCCAGAATGAGTGGTTATGATTGGACATTCCTCAGGGTACATATCCAAAAAAAACATCCCTGAGGCCCTTTGGTGTGGTATGTCCATTTGGGCTATGTCCATTTGGGTCCTTCGGCAACTGGGACTCGGAGTGTTGGCGCCGGAGAGGCGATTTTTGGGGGCTTGGGTGCCGGAGCGCAGTCGCTGCTGGAGGCGCGCGAGCGCAGCGTACTGTGGGTGGCTCATGTTTTTTTGGATTTGGCCCCCCCCAAAAAGGGAAAAGATGGAACATACCCATGTTTGAAAATGGCTCCAAACAAGTCATGGCAACAATTTATGAGTTCTAGAACTGACAGAGGCTTGGGCTTCACAGGATAGGACCAAGATGACAGTCCTCGTCGGGGGGTTGACTGCGCTGGCGGTTGGCGTGCCAGGAACTCAGCTTTTAGATTGGACGGTCAGTCCCAGTCAAAGTTGATGCCTTGGACATGGTCCCTCGATCAGGGAGTAGGACAAGTACAAGGATTCAAAGAAGGAACGTAGGTCTTTGTCTCTTCCCTTTCACCGCTGATTTCCGCAGTGATTCAGAACACACACACACACACACACACAGCTGCCACCACCTATGATTTGCAATACGCTTTCTTTCAGTTCCTGCTTTGAGTTTAGACGATTCGGATTGGCACGAATGATTGTTACGGCTGTGTGAGCGGGCTTTGACTTAGGTACGGTGCTCGTGCAGCAACCCAAGTAGCAGGCAACATTATTGAGAGGCGCGCAGATTGAGAATCCACTGGCTCCACTCCGTTGCTTTTTGCACGGCTGCTGAATTAACCCACGTTGAGAATAGTTTGAATCTGAGGAGTAGACATGGCGTGACTAAGAATGGCTGGGTTTCCTGCAGAGGTTCTCGTCGATTCAGCCTGTCTGCTTCTTGTGCTCAAACCCATCCTAGGAACTGAAAAGCACAGGAATGCGGCATTGGTCAGACAGCAAACCGAAGACATCAATGCTTTCCCAGGCTAAGTCGCAGGAGCAGCCACGTCTCTTCCTCCCTCCAACTTCTGCCTGACGGATTATTTAACATGGAAGCGGCTTTGCCATCGTGCTCGGCGGCATGCAGCAGACCAACATGCAGCAAACCAACTGCCTAGATCTCAGATGCTTCGCTGAGTCACATATGATATGTCACATACGCACCGGAGTGGGCCAAGGTACATAAGACACTCTTTCTCAAGCACGCAGTCGGCATCACCGCGAGCAGCAGGCGATGTGATCTCAAATGCGGTGTTTTTTCTTGCGCGTGCTCAGCAGGGAATGAGGGAATGAACCTGGCAATTCCCTTGAAGGAAACTAGAGGGCATGGTTTTTCTCGGGTCATTCCCACTCATTCCCTGCCTATCGCGCCAGCATGTTCTTTTTGAGCGCGCTTCCTTTCTGCCAGGCGCACCTCGGGAGCGGCCCTCTTTGCAGGTCACGAGTTGCGCAGGGAATTGGTGTGGCCTGATGTGGGGGTTGATCAAAAAGTCCGAAATATATGGGGTGAGTCGGCAGCCACCAAAAAAGGTTGCCCATGGTCATTTTTGGGGCCGAAGAGAATATCATATTGATCGCCATGTGCTTTGCTTGCCTCTCAAAGTGATAGCATATCAAGATATGTGTACACATCGGGCAAGGCTCAGCCCGTGTTTGTTTCTTTCTGACTGGGCCGAGCGAATCGGCAGGCGTGGCTGGTTTGGCTGGCCATCGCAGGAAGGCAGGCGAAGGGACAGCAAAGCACTGTGCTCTTCGGATTTGAACTCTGAAAGGGATCAGCTTCCCTCTTGGAGTTTTGGATTGGTGGACGTTGGGTCCCGTTGGGTGGTGACCCATGTGGCCCCACCAATCCAAACCACGGCTTCGAGAGCCGAAATGCGATTTCCACCCCATTCGACCGGATCGCGCCTTTGCAGGCCCAAAGGCATCGGCTTGCCGCAGGCGGGGATATTTGCGTCTCACGTCCAGCTGGGTTTTTGTCTGAAAGAATCTGGGTGGAATCGCCATTTGAGGAGTTCTTTTTTTTCCAACCAAAAGACATCAAGTTTGGGTATGGGTCAAAATTGGATCAGGATATGGGCCGCAGGTTTTAGACCTTTCCATTTAGGGCAACCAATTGACCCACACCCAGTTCGAGAAAGCCATGGGGCTAGCTGTGCGAGATCCAAGAAGGGTTTTACTGAGAAACTCTTTCGAGGCCACCTGTGTCTAGTTTCTCCATTTTGGACCCCTCCAAAATGGCATCTGTTTTCCTTGAACCCCCCCTCCCCCCGCAAAGCAAGAAACAAACACAAAGAAAAGGACGGGTCCCTCAAAAAAGACTGACCCAACGAATAACATCATGGTCACCTGGGCGACTGCATGTCCTTTTACATGCCCCCCACCCCCAACCGTTTGTTGCTTGGCCCCCCAAGGCAGCAACACGGAGGTTACGTTTTGGACACACGGAGGTCTGGTCTTATGGCGAGCCAGGAGAGCCCAAAGTTGTGGTTGTCGGCGGCGGCCTTGCGGGCGCCGTGCTGAGATCACTCTGCTCAAGAAGACAGGTCCCCCTTTTTGGCATTCAGAAAGCCCCCTTTTTGTTGGGGGGGTGAGTGGGTGGGTGGGTGGATGGGTGGGTGGGTTCCAAATCCTAAAACGAGACACGAATGCGTGTACACAACCGTGATTCAGGGGGAGACCTTGTCTTGATTCTCGAATCTCATAGGAGGCGACCACGCAATAACCCTGACCCTGGTACCACAAATCCTCCTTTCACTTTGGTTACCACAAAGTCACCTTTCTACTTTAGTTGCTCTACGACCGACATAGGCCCGTTTGAGGATTCTTCACAGCAACCCCGGCTGCAGGCCTGAATGTTGCCATGCGCTTGGCGCAGATGCCATGGCGCTCGTCGCCGCAGGCGGGCCGAAGCGGGCCATACGTTTGTCAATCCCATTTTTCACGATTTGTGGCTGAGTTGCTGATCCGCCGACGGTACAACCAATTTTGAACGCCCCAAAAAGCCACGACCCATGCCGGCGCCTTGTGCGTGCACCGTTCTCATTGCGACATTCCAACTGAGCTTCGGCTTGGCATTCTTCAAATGGGCGGGTGTTGTTGTTTTGGGGTACTCGTTGTTTGGCGGTTTTACAGGGAAATACACACCCAAATGGGCCCCCAAATGGCAATGGTTTCCTGTTGGTTTCCCTTTCACACCTTCACAATGAGCCTCAAAAAAGGAACCAAGATTTGTCAGACTCCAGAATCCAAGATGGGTTCAACGGTTTCCTTTCGTTTTCCCCTGACCATCCAAAAAAGGAACCATCAAAATTCACCGACCCAAATGATGCTAACCCCGGACCGGATGAAGCAGAACTCTTTTTTCTTTTTTTTCTCGGGCGTGCATCCCCTGTGTTGAGACACACCTGCGTGAATCCAGCTGACCATATTGGCTTTCCGTGCGTGCCAATTCTTGCTTTCGCATCCGGGCGGCTCGTCCATTTGGATAGGGA